CAGCCCACTGGTTTGTAGGCCCTCAAGGCCTACTCTAGGCCTTTCTCTCTTTTGCAACTGACCGCATTCGTCAGATTGGATTTCCTAGACTTGTCCGACAGAGGTTTTTACCCGGCCTAAACGGTACGGTTTTTCCTTTGTACATAGCTGGAGCGGGTCCGAGGAGCCTGTTAGATAGGCATAGCGGGGTAGGAATAATAATAATAATAACGTCGGAAATTACTGCTCCTATGCGCCCGCCAGGATAAATTAGCTCTGGAGAGCTCCTGCGATTCAGGATAACTTTGAACAACAATTGATCAATCAATCGACCAAGAATCCCATCACCACTGGGCATTTCGCCTAGTATTCGTGCCTCACTGCTGTATTTCCAACAGCAACCCACAATAAATTTAGCCCGAGAAACCCCTGCAGGTGGCTCTTTCCATTGAATCTATTCTTCTAGGCGGGTCTGTGGGTTCTTCATGGGGGTTCGGGTTATCGCCCCCACCACGTCAAAGTCTTCCATCAAAAACAAGCCAAGAGTGTTACGTGGGCCCACCCACGATGCAACGCTGGATATTACTCAGCCAGCTCAAACCTCGTATTTCCACTCTTCCAGAGCCTTCGTTTCCTGTATGTAGACTTTTCCTCGGTCAACCACGAATATCACCACTCTATTCGCGTTGCCTACGTTACAAAGAGTCTTCTGCAACGTCAAATCTTCCACATTTCGATCACTTCGATCCTTCAAACACTTCAATTCTTCCTGCTCTTTCACACCCTTTGCTCGGTTCAGCAAGCGACATTGCTTAGAAAATCCTCAACGTGCGCAAACCTCAACTCCTGCATCGTCTCCTGCCACACCTGTGCAGAGATCTTGTCGCCCTCTTCCGTGTAGATGATGGGCGCCATTCTAGCAACAATATCCACGTCAGCACTCATTCTGCTCCATGGCAACATAGCCGGTGCGGTAACTTAGCTGTAACAAATTTACTACTTACGCGGCGGGCTTTTGAAACGACCAGAACAGCCCGTGTGTTTCCTCCCCATGGTTCACCGCAGCATCCGTGACCATGCGCGCGCCCACCGCCGACGAGTTGCCAACCCACCGCAGGCCCGCTCCAATCACGGCCCCGGAAACCGTCCCGTTCAGGTCGCGGTTGAACTCAGAGTCATGAATAGCACCCGGCGAGGCGGCATTGATGACAGCGACACGCGCAGGCACGCGCCTGGCCAGCTCCCGAAGAAAAAAATGGCCGAGCAGCTTGGATACAAACATGCGGTCTACCGTGTCCACACGATCTTCTCGCTTATCCAGCGCGGCGAGGATTGGTTGCTCATTTCCAAGGTCAAATTTGAATTTGGCCAGGGCCGCGAACTCGGACGAGGTGAAGGTGATCCTGGTCGGGGCGGGCTGGTTGGCGCGGCAGGCTTTGGCGACGGGCAGGAGCAGCATAGCCAGCAGGGCGGTCGATAGGTAATTCACCTGGATGATCTCGTCATGGCCGGTCTTGGCGTTGAAGATGCGCTTGGCCGGGCAGATGCCCGCGTTGAGCACGGCAATGTCTAGCCGGGTGAGTGATGACTTTGCGCGGTCGGCAAACGCCATGACCGAGTCGTAGTCGCGCAGGTCGAGGTGCCATACCTCGATCCGGGATGGGTCGGTGGGTGCGAGCTTGGTCGCGGCCGCTTGGCCCTTTGCTTGGTCGCGCACGGCGAGGATCAGCCTGCTGATGCCCAGGTCCAGCAGCTGCCGCGAGATCTCGAGGCCCACGCCCGTGTTGGCTCCGGTGACGATGGCGGTCTGGCCAGAGAGATCAACATCCTTCGCTGCAAACGGTTTGTACGTGAGCTGCTGGTAGAAGAAGCGAGGGAGGCTAAAGTGCTTAATGTTCGGGGTCGTAACGGCGACCATTTTGCAAACGAGACGGTAGTATGGTACGCCGAATCGGCGGAAGAGCTTCTGCTCACGGATCAACAACGCGTACGTGTGGAAGCAAAATCGACCTTGTGAAGCCGTTGTTGATTCGGGAAAAGAACCAATTAAACTGGTGAAGAAGTTGGGCTGCCTGGACCAATGGGGATCAATGCTGACTTCTGTGGTGAAGCAGAGAAGGGAAAAAGCATTGAAGGAGTTGGAGGATGCGGGTTGGCTGTTGGCTCCAAGACAATTTCAGTAACATGGAAAGACGGCTACACAGCCCAGGACTGTCACAAACGTGATAGACTGATCAGCGTGGTCGCGAATTAAGTCTAAATAAACTACGTACACTAGGTACCTAGGTTGTTACGTGGCTCCAAGGTTGATTTGTCATCCAGCCCCGGCCTATTTCTGGATTTCTCCTCCTTCGAACTCCAACAACAAGATCATTATTCCTTTGACATACGTACCGTTGGATGCTGTGTGATTTGAGTTGGTGCTGGCTACTGTTTAGATCGAGATTTAACCGGCCACTAGGAAGCTGTTAGAAATAATGGAAATGCGCAGCAGCCTAGGTACCAACCTCAGTTTACCACCCCAGGAACGGGACATTGCCTCGAGTGCGGCAACCGCCACACCCCAAGCGGATTCCACCTCTTTCTTGGACCGATAAACAATGTCAACCACAGCTACCAATGTAACCATTGAGTCCCCAAACTTGAGATCTGGACCTGACTAATACCATTACCAGAGCTACATCGAGCGAGGCAGTTTCTGCCCGCCAGGGACCAATCTCTGAAAGACGCCATGCGGATCGTAGCGTCTCGCCACCTCGCAGAGCCTCCGCACATTTTTCACGCCATAGCTCGCAATGACCTGTTGCCTTGCATTGGCGTCATTCATAAACAGGCAGTCGAGCCGAACCCCCTCGCGCTCAGCCAGATCATCAATCTTATCCCGGAGGGCGCATACAGCTCCGTCCACGACGTCGTCATCATCAGCACTGGCCCACGCCGCCGACACGGACCACCACGTCTGCTCCACGGCCTCAAGGCCCAGCGCGTTGCCGCCAAGACGCCCCCGCCCGGCGAGCACGGCACTCGCGGCGATGGGCTGCACGGCCATGACCAGCGTGCCGGACGGTCGGGCCGCGATGGCTGACACCTCGGGCGTAGAGGGTGCCAGCAACTCGCTGATCTGGGCGTAGAGGTTGGCATTGGGCCTGAACGACGTGTCGTACCAGGTCCAGCGGGGCAGCGTAGCCGGCGGGAACAGCGCCATGAGTTGGTGCAGGCTCATGAACCCCGTCTTGTCAAGCACGGGGGTCAGTTGGTAGAATGGGTTGAACGCGGTAGGGTTCTCGACCGGCTTGAGATAGACCAGGGTGAGGAGCAGCGTGGCGTTGGTCGGGATCAGGTTGATGATGAGGTTGGCGTTTGGGTCCCTGGGTGCTGTCTGGTACTCGTACAAGGCTTGCATCAGCGCCGCCATCTGGTCGATAGCGAAGACGCGGAGGCCGCCCCATGCCTGCGGTGCAGGGAAGGTCTGCATCACTAGGCGCGTTACAACGCCTTTATGCCGTCGCAGGGTGGTTAGTCTATCGTTCGCAGCCTGGCAAGGGCATTAGGTGTAGAGGCATCTGGTATCCAGGTACCTACGCACCGAAGTTATTGCCGCCCCCCTTGAGCGCCCAAAACAAATCCGAGTGTGTCGTTTCGCTGGCTTCAACGACTTCCCCGTCGGCTAGAACCACCTAGCACGCTCACCAGTCAACATGTATGTTGCAGTTTCCGATGATAATCCGGGAACCTTACCTCGTAGCTAACGATGTTATCACACACCAGCCCGTGGACATCCGACAGGTAACTCAACCCTCCCCCCAGCGCAAGTCCTCCAACCCCAACAGACATAACCCTGCCACCAACAACCGTGACATTATACTTATCCAGTTCGGTATACACCTCGTCCCAGCGCGCCCCAGGACCGGTGCTCGCCAGCTTTGTACCCGCATCATACGTTATATGATTCAAGCGGTGCAGCGAAAGCAGCACACCCGCGTCGTCGATACTGGCGTCGCCGCGGTTGGGCGAGTGCCCGCCCGAGCGGATGGCAAAGGGCACCCCCGGCCTGTACCAACGTCTTGATCAGCATCGAGACGTCGGCGGCGCAATCCGGCGTCGCGACACATGCGGGCTGTTGACGGGCTGTCTGTGACCAGTTTAGGTTGCTGAGCTGGTGGAACCGCTCCTTGTTGTGACAGGGTAGAGTCACGAGGTCGGGTCGGTGGGTGTGTAGTTTGAGACATGTCTCTACGGCATGGCGATGTGCATCGTCCTGAATATCAACATTGCCGGTAGAGGGCGTATGAGTGTTGTTGGGACCTGTGCTGGTGCTGGCCATGGTTCTGGTAACTGATAGCAGAGTCCAAAAGATGGTCAAGACGGCGGACATGACAATCAAAGACGGGACAGACCTAGAGTGGGCTGGGACAATCCGGGTACTTAGCCCTGTGCGTCCGACTTGCTCGCGCGAGACCGGATAGGCTAAGGCATTGTTGTACATGTACGCAAAAGTTAAGACATACAACTTCAGGGAGGTTGATGGTGCAAGGTTGGCCTCGGTGAGTGAATCAGCCCGAACCTGATTTCAATAAATTACCTACTCCGAGTACTCTCTAAGTCGACCGGAAGCGAGGGACCTCGAATAGCTGCAACCCGATACTTGCCATGCGTCACTTGCATCAGCTCCACAAAGTGCTGCTGGTTTCGCCCAACAACATATGTCGTCCGCGGCACAACGGGCCCAGGGGTGTGAGTTGGTGGAAGTTCCAGCGGTATCTCGGCAAAGAGGAAGGGTACCAGCTTTGGACCGTCTGCAGCTTGTCACCAACCCGAATGCAAGGTTCCATATTAAACAGCGGAACGTTGGGCTTGTATTCATGGCGCTGTACATATATACACGTGTAGAAAACGCTCTTCCACTGGGCATACAGCATGTAGCCCTCGTCGAGTGACATATCCGTAAGAGTAGGTGGGCTACACCAGCTGAATCTGGACCTTTGCCGCCTCCTTGACCAGCTTCAACCAGGGGGTATCCTCTTCAAAAACACCCCGTTTATACTCGTAATTCAGCACACCAACACGCTCATACACACCGTCTTCGTCCTTTATCTTCCGAATAGCTATGCACCTCATTTCGGTCCGCTTTTGTCTATCCACAAGGTTCGAGTGGTAATCCAGCATCAGGTGGCTCACCTCGTGCCGGAAGATAGGCTCGTCAAGGTCAAAGCGCCATGCAACTGACTCCTCGGGCGTGTGAATCGTCTCGGGCTGCGGTTCAATGACCTTGCCCGTCAGCGTCAAGCGGGGGAACTTATACGATTCGTGACCCGGCTCTGCGACTCCGTCCTGATCCTGAACACCTCCTTTACCATCAAAGCTGATATGCCCCAGTTCCAGTTCCACGCTCATGTGTGTGCGGTCACAGATTGGAACCCTTACACCCCCCGAAATGGACGCCCACGACCAGGTGGGTGCCATGCCTGACCTCGTACTCCTTTTCGTAGCTTGCCAACCCAAGAAATGGGCCGCCAGCGCGGGCGACTTCCACACGCCAAAGACACACTCATCCTGCCACACCCACTCCAGCTCGCGGGTAATGCCGGCCAGGGCCGGCAGCCGATCACTCGGCACCGTCAACCCCCGCCTGGTGTAGTCTTCCACGATGCGTCTCCACAGATTCAGACGGATCGGGATGCGCCCAAAGGCATACGTCCTCGCCGCGACGTCGCCGACACTCGCAGCCCCGAAAATGCCCGGTTCGAGGCGGAAGCTGTTCGGGACAGACTTGGTTCTGCCAAAGAGGTCGTCAAACACAAACTGCACGTCCCCGTGCTGGCAGTGCCACTCGACGTTCCAGTTGGCAAAGTACAGCAGCCGCGGCGATAAGAGGTGCTCCTGCAAACACCAACCGCGCTGGTCGAGCGGGTGATAGCTTTTGGCCCGCAAGGGGCCCTGTCTGGTGAGCTCGTCAAGCGTGAGGTGAACGGGGCCGATTTCTCCGTTGGGCAGCGGCAGGTTTACGACGGCTGTCGGCAGGGGTTCTCTTGGGGTGCGTAGAAAGCCTTGGCTCGCTGCGCTGGCCGTCGCGGCGACAATGGTGATGGTCGAGTTCTTGTAGATGGCGCCCATGGTGTAGATGTGCTTGGCCTTGTCCTCGTCGCTGTCTTGGACGATGCACAGGGCGTCCACCCACAGATATCGCAAGCCCAGCCGTCGGGTGACCTCCGCGGCGTCGGTCACCGTCTGGAATAGGCTGTCCCTCGGTATCTCGGCTGTGAGTGACTCAAGGTTGGCGCAGGTAGTCTTGAACTGGTCCCCGCCCCAGCAGTAGCTCAGGCACGCGTACTCTGCCTGCTCGTCCTCGGCGCTGACGTGAAGTTTAAGCGCGTCCCCGTCATCCACCCCCACGTCAATGACCCGAGTCGGCAGATAGGATAGCCCGTCCTTGCCAGTAACCCGGCACTGCTTGTGTGAGGTGCAGCAGGTTTTGATCCATTTCCTGGCCTTGTCAAAGACCACATCGCTCGCCGGGTCCACCGGAGGCCGCATTACATCGGTGAACTTGGCAGCGGCATCTCCTAGAGATAGAGTACAAAATCAGCAAGTCTGCCCAGCTTCAACCCTAGAGTACTAGGAGGTAAGGTAGTAGTTGGAGTGTCTTACCCGGCAAGGCGAAGCCCTTGATGTCAATGCCAACTCGCCCAAACAGGTACTCGCCCGGGCCTTTGTTGAGCTCGGAATCGAGAAACCCGCACAGGGCGCATTTGGGGTCCGGGGCATCGCGCCAGTTCACCAGCCCCTGGTGCGGCATGGTAGCCTCCTTGGCCACGCCGGGCTTACTGAACCGGCGGTGGAATGAAAGCCCCGTGAAGGACGCCATTTGGCGACACTCGTCGCAATAGCGATCCGTGTTGGTGTGGATATCGCTGGCATCAAATACCTCTTGTCCCATTATGACGGTGAATGGTGAACGCTGAACGTTGAACGCATGTTTTAAAAGGAGGGGGAGAAACGGGGTAGTCCAGGTGTCGTGTGGGCCTTGGCCAAGCCCACACTAAGGTACCTCAGCGGCTCAGCCAGCTATACGCCAGCTATTCGCCCCTTTTTCGGCCTGTTCTTAGAGGTTGTACAAATATACCTTGGCCTGGATATTTTTTCCTTGTCTTCCTTTTTACAGTAGCCTTGACAATACACTACGCTGAACCTCTCTACTCCGTACCTTCCTCTGTCTCCCCCAACACCAGGTCCCGGCAGCGTGGGCTAAGATATATTGCGGGCGAGAAACCTTGATATCCAGGAAGCAGCTACTAGGATTCAATGCTAACATGAACGGCGTTCCCTCTAATATTGTTGGTTTCAAGAGAGAGAAGGGGTAGCTGTTATGTTGTTGTTACCCCTGAGTTTGACCCTAACGCCTGACAAAAAGGGGGCAGGGTTAGGGTACTGTCTGGCACTGCCCCCCTGAAGGGGTAATGCAATCCCCTCCTTTCCATCACTCCCCCGAAAATAGCCTAAGACGAACCGAGTTGACTACGGAAGAAGGATTAGAGTTGGTGCAGCGGACTGGGATACCTGGGTACAAGTACTGTACCTTACTGACGAGCGGTTGGGAGGGACGTGAGCAGGGCCAACATTGAAGCTCGCACGAGCAGCACCAACTACATATTTCATGCAAAACTTGTACCGGACTGCTGCCGGTATGTGGAAAGGTAGCGGTGGGCAATCCATGCACATCATTGAGCGCGGACGTCGGCCGCCAGTTGGTGACTTGGAAATCCGCCTGCAGAACGATCAGTTCCAGGGCAAACGCATTCATTATTTCCGTGCCGTCAGTCCGTGAATCCGTGTTGGGTGAGGCGAGCAGCTTTGGCTCAACTCCTCCGAGGCAGTGAGTCTTAGGTCGCATCAAAAGACGAAAGGTGCTCCCATCCCCCTTATTACTACTATGCCAGGCTTCTGCATCTCCTTCCAAGCTTCCCCTATCTTGCTCAGCGTCCCACCGTAAGTTGCAATGGCGTTTATCGATGTTGCCATCATTGGAGGCGGTCCTGCCGGTTTGACAGCGGCAGCGACGGTTGCCCGCCAGCTCCATACCGCCGTCGTCTTTGACAACCAGCGCTACCGAAACGCCAGGTCCAGCCACATGCACATGGTGCCTACCTGGGACCACAAGGACCCCAAGGAGTTCCGTGCTGCTATCAAGCGAGACATCCAGGCCCGCTATTCCACCATCCAGTTTGCCAACGTCGGTGTCGCCAAGATCGAGAAGAAGAGCGACTCGCAGTTCCACGTCGTCGACGAGTCTGGCATGGAGTACGACTTTCACAAAGTCATTCTGGCTGTAGGCCAGGCCGACTCCTTTCCCGAGATCGAGGGATACCAGGACGCGTGGGCACGGCGCATGTAAGTACCTACTACCTACCTACATAGGCACATCGAATATCTCCCGGCGTACCTTGTCTGACATTCACCTCCCCAGCTTCCACTGCCTCTTCTGCTTCGGCTACGAGGACCGGGGCACCAAATCAACAGGCGTTCTCGTCGTACCCCCCATCATCCCAGCGCTAGCCCTCGTCCTAGCCGGAAACGCCGCCCAGCTGAGCGAGGAGGTCACCCTCTACACCCATGGCAACGAACAAGCCACAGCAGCTATCAATCCTCTTGCCGCGGCCGCCAAGGCAAACTTCAAAGTTGACCCGCGCCCGATCAAGCGCTTTCATGTCACCAACACCAATACCAACAACGGCAACGGCACCTCAATCACAATCGAGTTCACCGACGGCTCTACCAAAGAAGAGACGCTCATCGTGAATAGCCCCAAGACCAGTGTCCAGGGCCCGTTTGTCGAACAGCTCGGACTTGCACTGACGCCAACGGGTGACGTGGTCGCCAACCCGCCTTTCTTTCAGACCAGTGTCAGGGGGGTGTTTGCTGCTGGGGATATCGTGACCCCGTATAAGGCTGCGAACGCGGCTGTTTATAGCGGGTGCAATGCAGCGGTGGCATGTGTTGCGCAGCTGCAGTCGGAGAAGTACGGTCTTCCGGCGATGTTCTGATATTAGGCAACCTGATCTTGCTCTTCGGACTGGAACAGGATACCACGGCACGCGCTTAGATAGGTCATGTACGGCTGTATTCCATGCTGGAGTAACAGAGTGTAGGTACTGTACCTACAGAGGCAGACTAGCTGGACATCCTGCCAGTTTGCCATGGTCATAGGGTAGGCATGTTGATGGTCGTATGGTGGTGCAACTACTGGTATCATTCATTGGCTAGGTAGTATTATCAATGCCCTGACCGCAAAAGACCAACCATGTTACACCCTGGAAATGTCAAGTCACCTCCACAGCAGAGAGAGACCTAGGTACACAGGACGCAGTTGATATGTTAGACTTCCATTGGGTGAAGACCGGGAATAGCAGGCTCGCGAGATGAGTGTGATGCTGTTGGTTGATGATGCACGACCAACCGACCAACAAGCCGCGTCCGACACGGACTGCCTGCCTGCCTGCCTACACAGTACGCACAGCTAAGCTTGGGAAGAGATCGTCGTTGGCGACTCGTGCAGGCATGCCAACTCATTTGTTGGCTACCTACCTTCAATACTACTAGCAGCCGTCAAACGGTTCAACTTGGCGCCTGGTTCAAGTTGCTTTCCCCAGGCCAAGCTTCAGCCAGTTCCCCCCGTCTTGGCCCTTTGTTTCATGAAAGCCCTTTTCGCTCATCCTCGCTCGGTTGCAGCGCTCCTTCAATCCGTCTCATTGAACACTAAGCCGAACTTAGGGCACACAAGATGACCGCCATGTCGTCCCAGCCCGCTGAAAATGAACCCAGCGGTGTCGATGAAGGTGCCAGTGTCACACAGCCAAGCTCGGCCGGGCTGGCCTTGGTCATGGTCGGGCTCTGTGTGGCTGTTTTCCTAACCGGCATGGTAAGTCTTACTAGAGCTGACTTACACCCAGGCACCAGCGGACACCAAGTCACTCACAAAAACACAACATGGATGCAGGACCAAACAATCCTCGCCACGGCCGTGCCTGTCATCAGCAAAGAGTTCAACACGTCCGAGGACATAGGCTGGTGGTCCAACGCCTACTTCCTCACCCTGAGCAGTTTCCAACTCTTTTACGGAAAGCTGTACTCGCTCTACTCCATCAAGCTCGTGTACCTGGTCACCATTGTCCTCTTTGAGATCGGGTCCTTGGTCTGCACCGTGGCCCCCAACTCGGTTGCGCTTATTGTTGGTAGGGCGCTGGCCGGTTTGGGCGCGGCGGGGATTTTTTCGGGTAGTGTGCTTATCTTGACCAAGTTAGGTATGATTTCCTTCTAACTATGTAGACGTAGCCTGGGGACTGGAGGTCGTAAACGGCCGCGCAGAAAGCTTTTGCTGACCTTGGGGGTAGTCCCGCTTGCGCAACGAGCCGCCTACCTCGGGGTGATGTCGGCCTTCTTCGGGCTAGCCGCCATCGTCGGGCCCTTCATTGGTGCCGGGCTCATCCAGTCGTCGACATGGAGGTGGTGTTTTGGCATCAACCTACCACTCGGGGCCGTGACGGTGGTTCTGTGCTCTGTCTTTGTCCACACACCCTGGGAATCCCGGCATCTGACTGTCTCCGCGCAGCTGCGCCAGCTCGACCTCCCCGGGACGATCTGCATGGTGGCAGCTATCATCTGTCTGCTGCTGGCCTTGCAATGGGGCGGTTCTGCGTATTCATGGGACAACGGGCGGATCATTGCGCTCCTTGTCCTCTTCGCTGTCCTGGCAGTCGCCTTCCTCGTTATCCAGAAGGTGTCACCGACTGCGACCACCATACCACGCAGTCTGGCGCGCAACCGTGATGTATGGCTCGCGGCTGTTTATTCCATGTGCATCACCGGGGGCGTTTACGTCGCTGTCTTGTACCTGCCTATATGGTTTCAGGACATACGAGATCAGACGCCGCTTGCATCAGGGGTGCTGCTTACACCTCTGATCGCCGGCTATGTTGTGTCTTCGATTGTAGCGGGTGGGCTCACAAGTGCCATCGGCTACTATAACCCGGCCATCCTGCTCGGTACTGCCCTCACCGTCGCCGGGTCTGCTTTACTTAGCGTCACCAACCTCGACACGTACGTATCTGGTTTTTCTACTATCAGTTTGCTTATTCTTCCCAGGCCATTGTCTTAGATACCATGACGTTTCTGGTTTGGAGGTACTGGTACAGAGTGAAAATGGTTGGCACAGCGGAAGACAACTGACCCCTGACCCTCGCTGTCACAGATCGACGGCCCGCATCGTCGGCTACCAGCTCCTATACGGCTTCGGCGTGGGCATGGGGTTTGGCCAGCCCAGCTACGTCGTGCAGACCCTACTACCAACGTCCGACGTGCCCATCGGCGTGACCTTCATCACGCTGGTGCAGAACCTCAGCGCGTCCGTCTTTGTAGCTGTCGCGCAGGCCATCTTCCAGGGCGAGATGCGCCGCCGGCTCGCCCCGCTCCTGCCGTCCGAGGATGCGTCGGCCATCCTGGGCTCCGACCTAACCCAGATTCTGTCCTCACTGCCGGACGAGAGCCACGACGAGGCGCTCCGCGCTGTCAGCACTTCGATCGTCATGACTCTCTACGTCACGCTGGCCTTGAGCGCCGCGTCTGTTGTTGGTGCTGGCATCAGGTGGGGTTCCATGAAGAAGGGGAAATTGAACCCCGGCGAGACGCCGTCGTCTACCGAGAACACGGATGGCGAAGCCAAAGTGCATATGCAACCGACGTCGTCGGTGACGGCGACTGATCTGGATCATGGGGTTGCCATTGATGCGCCTAAAGAAGCCAGACATTCGCCCATGTAGGTGCTCAACGGAGATGCCTTGACTGCCAGGTTTGGGAAAGGACATGCGAGAATCATCATGCATACTATAGACACAACGAGATGTATTGCCTCTAATCCTCCAAAACTGCTTACTCCGACGCCGAGTCAAAGTCAAACTGTTCATCTGACGAGGCAGACTCATACTCCTCGCTAAACAGATATTCAGCAATTCTCTCCACCCCCTGCAAATCCCCCTCCTTCGTGTCAGTCTTGTCTTTGTCGACCCAGCCTTCAGTATAACCACCGCCAAAGTCGATCAGCCAAGCATCATCGTTCTTATCGATCAGGACGTTGTCGGCCTTCGCATCCCCCCAGATAGCGCCTCCCTCATGGAGCTGCTGAACCGCTTCTCTGATCTGGGCTATCCAACGTTCCCTTAGCGAGACCGGCGTGCGACGTAGATAGATGCCGTCTAGAATCCCGTCGTAATCGCGGCGGCAGTCGACATAAGTAAGTAGCAAACCTGCTACTCTGCCATCCGCGACTGCTACAACGCCAAGCAGACGGATCACGCGCGCCTCGGGCACGACGTTGGACTTGAGGATTCGAAGATGGGCTTCCACTTCTTTCTCAAGGCGGTCGTCTTCCCCAGGAGAGAATCCCTTGAAAAAGCAAGTTGTCATCTCACCCGAGCCATCCAAATAGACCAGAACTCGAGTAGGATTGTCGTTAAGTGCCTGTTTTGGGCGCTGAAACGAGACTCGGACCACAGACGGATCGAAGAACTTGACATATCGCTCGACTTCTCTTGCGAGGTCTGGCCTGATATGGCAGAGAGGTTCCGCAAACTCACTCTCCTCGTCTGGCATATAAATAGGGAAGGGCTTGTCGACTTCTGATTCGAATCGACATCGATGTGTCTCAGGGAAAAGATATTCGGAAAGCAGGGGCTTCACTTTCCCCGATCGAATCATGTCCGGATCAAAAGACGGCGGGACGTCTGGAGCGAGTTTTAAAAAAAACTGGCTTAAAGACGTCGATGAGCCAGTCATGAAAGCTGGCGACTATCTCTTCCGGATGTTCTTCCTCTGCGTCCATCTCAACTTCATCTCTGGGTGCGGCCATGAACTTGTCGTACCGAGTGGAGATGGAAGGTGAATTGCACAAGAAGAAAGGCGACAGCTCGATATGGAATTCTCGTCCATTGCAGCGAATGAAAACCACGCAGTCATTGTCGACATGCCTGTCACGGTGAATATGGATTCGGCCGCGTATTGGCCTGGCCAGGATGCGCTCTGTATTGGCTGTTGAATGAGACGTCATGTCTCCTGCAATAAACCGGACGCAAATAGGACTGACGAGATAGTGGTGATTAATGAGCAGTCATCATACAACGATGCGAGGCGAGACGGGTCACGGTTGGTATCAATTCAACCTAAACGTACCTCGTGCCACTAAGTATTGGAATGAAGCCGGCGGTGAAGATTGAAGAGTGAAGACGATGGTAACTATCAGAGATAAAAGGATGCCGAAAATGTTGAACGCGAGTGTAAAATGTGCGGTGCTGGTTTGGCATACTCTTGAGAAAAGATGGTAAAGTGCCTTCATGTTGTTGTTCCTAAGTTTGGGAGGCCGAATTTCCGAAGGCAGTCCACTAAATCCCATTCTGACCCTAACCCCAATCGTTTAGACTTCAGACTGAGAAAAGGGGGCTACATATCATGGATTCATGATAGACGGGCGGCATAACACCACCTTGTCCATCAGGCAATCGGCGTCACCTCAAACCTCTCCATATCCTCACTCACCACCTCCCAACCATCCCTCCTCGCCCCATCCCCCATCAAATACTCCGCCGCCGACACATTCCCCCGCATAACCCACTGCACCCAATACCCACCAATAACCCCAAACTTCCCCCCGTTAACCTCCGTATACGTCCCCCCATGCCCAACATCCAAATTCCCCTTCCACTTCGGCACCCCACCGGGCATAGCCTGATAATCCCTCTCCCCATTCTGATACGCAATATCCCCCCTCCCCCCTAGAAAAAAGAACACCGGCTTCCTAAACCCCTCCGCCGCCGAGTAGTTACTCAGCAATCCCGAACTCCAAATCCCCACACTCTGCACCCGCGCATCCCAGATCTGATCATACGCCTCCAGCCCGCCACAGCTCCACCCGGCCGCCGTGATGCGCGACGCGTCAATGTTAGCCCAGTCTCCCGTGCCCGCGTTCTTGGTGATGAAGTCGATCGACTGGGTCATGAGCGCCGAAGTGGTGCTGCCGCTTCCGCGGGGGGTGCCGCTTGCAATGACCAGCACGCCGTGGGATGCGAGTTGGGTTAGGAAGGGTGCTTGACCGGTCGCGTCGGCGGAACAGCCGCCGTTACCCCAGAGCATGACGGGAAGTTTGGTGTTGGAGGGGATGGTTTTGGGGGCGTAAAAGGTGTGCCCGGTGAGGGCGGGGGTGGTGTAGTAGCCCTGTGAGGATGGGGGGTATGTTAGATGGTCTGGTATGTTTACGCTGCTGGTATTACCCCTGGCTTTGAACACCGGGGGTCCGGGCCTCCTACATACCGCTGGCGCGAACGGGCCGGTACCGACACCTGAGTTCTGGCGCAGCTCAATAGACATAGGGCTGGCAGATGATAGGGCCGCTAGGGCCAGGATAGGTAGCGAGGCCTTCATGTTGCCTTTGAAGATTGGAGATTGCTTAGGACATGAATGTGGCCGTGGAGATTTCGCCGTATTGACGGGGATGGCAGGACGCGGGGCATCCGTCAAGTTATCAACTTTGAGCAGTGCTCCATCAGATTCCTTTTATGTCCCGTAGCCAAGGTATTAGTGAGTATCATAGAACTCAGTTTCTTGCCGAGCACGTAGTCCCATTGTCTTCATGTCTGTTCGCTACTAACTTCGCTTGTCCCTGAACCCTTTCTCCGGCTGAATGAGGTGGCCATAAGGAAATCCACCCGGGGGAGACTCGCGGAAGCAGCCTGAGGCCCGAGTATCTGGGGACTGGAGCCAAGTCGGTTACCTCCACATCGGCATGCAACGTCGGGACGTCGATCCCGATGACACCAAGGCAAAGATCTACGATCGCGCCTATACAATGATTGGCCCGGATGAGCTGCATGCCTGATCGTTGCTCTGTCTCCGGGAACGCACTAGGTAACCACTTCCCTTAATGCGGCGTTCTGACATTGCGAGTGCCTATCGGCAACTGAGGTCGGCAATGTAACATTGCTGGTTACCGGTTACCCGGTTGGAGCGCCTAGAGATGCTTCACTGCCGCCGGCTATATGGATTTACCTGCCGACCTAAGCATCTGTTTCAACTTTCTCTGTTGCGGCGATCCACAACATCTTGAATCCAATCATGTGTTGTGGAGACCTCAATGTGTCTTTAACGACCACCTAGATAACTGAAAAGCCGAGGTTCGCTTGCTCTATGTAATCTACCTAAGAACAGGGCTCCGACTGCAGCAGCGTGATCTCTCCCGACTTATGCCCCAGGACAATGTAATTGGCAATTGTGTCCCACGAGGACACTTCGTACAGTGGCGAGAGCGCTAGGAGCTTTTCCTGCGTTTCTGTGCGTACCACCCACTGGTCCTCGCCTTCTTTACAGCTTAAGTACAGAACTTGCTGTTCTAGCCGCCGAATTTGGCAGGGCAGGGCCGCCATTTTCGGGTGTCTCGACAGTGCGGGGCGCTTGGTCACAGCCAGGTACTTGGTACCTTTCCAGACAATCTTCCAATAAGCGTCCCAGTCCTGAACAGTTGGTTTCGAGAAAGAAGTCGTTCCCGGAATCCAGGAACCCGCTTTACCTAGCATCCATTTTCGGCTTCCCAGTGCAGCCACACATACATAAGATGGCGCCGCCCGCGCTTCCCGTCGTTCCCGCATCGTCGGCCATTGTCTTTAGAGTCAGCGGTATTGCCTTCTACACTCAACGCCATCGCCATGCCAGCACGTCGCCCGCCGCAGCCGCTCACCGAAGACCGGCATTACAATGCGCATTTCGTTCAGCGCTTTACGCAACAAGAAGCTGGGAAGCGGATAGCGAAACGGCCAGCAGCTTATACAGCCGAACAGCGTGCAGCTCTCCGCAAGCAGCTAGAGGACACAAAGTTCCTTATACCCGACTATGCCGACAAAACTAAGATCAACATCGCTGGTTTGTTACGAAAATGGAAGAGGTAAATGGTCGCCTCCCTTCCTGTTATACCATTCTATTTGACTAATGAACCTCGAGATATTGCGAGTTCGCTAAGCTATCAGGAACCTGGCGAGAGGTGATGCAGAAAGCAAACCGAGCGATGGCGATGGATTTTCTCGAATATCTGTGTCAAACATGCCGGATCGTATCGTGGAGCGCGTCGTGGCAGTATTTCCGCCAGTACAAGCAGCTGTATGCCAGTGTCACGGGCCGCTATATGGATACGAACGATAGTAAAGAAGTTAAAAAGGTACATCCCCATTTTCAGTTCACCGACGCAGTAGCTGACACACCTTGCAAGTGGCACGATACGGTTCTGGTCCCGAGGTACCGCCTACAAGCACCATGCACCCGTGGAAAAGACGTTGCCAACGCGGACACCTTGCTAGTCATGCAGACGTTCAATATCAAGTACGACACCGGCATCTTCTCTTGGGAGAGGCACCGTATCCAGCTCTTGGGGTGCTACCTCGGCCTTGCCTTTACGGGGGCCCGGCCGGCCGAGTTTGTAGATGGCGAAAGAAAGAGCGGCAAGGATGGGTCTCTCGAGGAGCTCTTCCCCGGGCAAGCTACTGGGAGTGTCCCTAGCGACGAAGACAAGGCGCCCGATGAGCATTCTAGGTTGCTGGAAGAGATAATGTTGCAAGAGTACAAGAGACGTGGACGCCCAAAGGCGCTATGTTACGAGGACATTCAGCTGATGGTCGTACGCCACCCGGAAACTGGCGAGGACGCCCTGGCTATGGCCATCAGGCTTGCGCACCATAAAGGCGCGGACAACAAGCCGAAGCCGTAAGTAATTACCTACTTATCTTTGGCGTCTTGGAGCTAACGATCCTCCCTCTAGGACCATCTTCTTCTTCACACCCACTCGGAGGTTGATCTTCTGTTTTATAACGGTCATCGTCAGCCTTGCGGTCCACGACCGCGCTTTTGCTGCGTCGAAGTTCACCAGCGTTAGAGAAGTCTTTCAGTATAAGAACAGGGGACCAGTCAAGTGTACTCCCATTCGGTGGAAGGAGGAATGGCTCAAACGGCCTATTTTCCGTCGACTTGGCGACTCCGAGTATCAACCTCTTCCATACCAGAAGCTGTTAGACGATATGACGCGGCAATCCCTCGACGCGGGAGAGGAAAGAGCGATCGAACCAAAGGCCTGGCGTAGGGGAGCAGCCAACGCGGCAAACGGTGTGTTCTTTCCATCCCTAGAGTTTGCCTTGTCCAATCTAACAGCACACAGGCAACGCCTCTGATGCTGTCCGTGATCAAATGATGCGTCACGACCCCAAGTGGGCTACGTTCAACAGCGCATACATTAACGAAAAGGTTGGGTTCCACCTTCAGAACGCGTTCCTCGAGGAGCCGACCGAAGACAGCCTTCTTGCAATGCTCTCGCATATTGGCCACATGCGCGACCCCCGTGCGAGGAAGGATATGGTTCCCGATCAGGTTTGGGATATGATGCCGCCCGACCCAGAGATTGAAGGACTGAAGGCAGAGAGGGTTGAGCTCAAAGGCAGCCAGTCCCGGATCAAAGGTGCAGAAAACGAGGACCGGATTCGAGAACTTACCAGGTTGATCGCAAGTAAGGAGGCGCAGCGGAAGAAAAATATCCGGCGAGCTTACCGAGAAGATTACTTCTACAATCGTCCTACCTGGGACATCGAGGCCGACGAGGGCGAGGAAGAGTATACTGAGCCGGCTGTCGACTTACAGATACCTGAGCGCGCCAAGCTCGCCGAAATCCTCTGCAACCAGCCAGACAACTTAAGCTCCGCAGAGCTGCTCGAACTCCGCATCCAGGCTGCTGAGCTCATGGTCTCGTTGTGCGATAAGCGAGAGACCAGAAAGAGGGACTGCGTCCGGCAGAGGGCACGGACCGATGTTGTAGTGAAGGAGGAGTCTCCCGGGCTTGATTCCTTTCCACTGCTAATGGACAAGAAGCAATGCCCACTCTGTATCGGAGATGAAACTCTGTCTTATGAGGAAAGGACGTTCAAGTACTGCCGGCCGGCGGTGATGTGCGACCATTTCGATAGGAAGCATGTGCAGCAGCTAGGTGGCGTGAAGCAGATGTCGTGCTACCACCCTAAGTGCAAGCAGGAGGCGTTGGAGTTCAAGCACTTGAACCACTTCAAGAACCACGTAGAGAGGGTCCACGGTATTAGATTACGGGCGTGAGTGTATTATTATTAAAAATCGCTCTATTAAGTTTCTGGAGCATATCATTATAATGGGCTTTGGCTTCCTCTCAGGACACGTTAATGTGATAATCACGTCGAGGATATTCGTGGTCCACCGGCAAAGGAGAGCATGGCTCGCCACATCAAATGCCACAGCTGGATAATTGCTACCGGACCAACATTTCCCTCTAATCAGTGTCCCCAATGTAATATGAAATAAACGGGCCACCGTTTTATTTGTTTTGTCCCCGGTTATCGACTCTGATTTGTGAGCGATACCAAATGGCAGAAAAGGTACGTACCGAGTGGCAGAAAAGGTACGTACCGAGTGGCAGAAAAGGTACGTACAAAATGGTTGGCCTATCTTTGAGCGGCCCACAAATACTTGGTAATACTGACCTGGTTTCGCATCCAGCATCTTCAACCCAGACACAACAACCTGGAAACCATTTGGAGGCTTACCTGTGGTTCTCCTTGCACGGGACTTCTTCCAATTTGGCCCGGTCAAGCAGGGAAGCTTACTGGTCAAGGAAGACAAGGAGCTAGCAAGGGAGCAGGAAATTGTGGAGCTGGAACAGCAAGGAAAACCCACCAATTTGAGCGACAGAGAGAGCAACAACATTCGAACAATGACACTCTTCAAGGAGTTTAGAAACGTCGTAATACTAAAGCAACAAGTACGAGCGGCTGCCGATCCTAAACTGGACTCCATTTACGGAGCTGCCCTTGTACGCTAGACTCGGAGAGCTTATTTGAATGGGATTGACAGCGTTCACGGGAAGTGGATGACGGGGAATCTATAGCGAAGTCGCCCCTGGACTCTAGGGCAGTTTTGTGTGAGAAACTGGATACATGTACCTAGGTATGCTTGACGATCGGAGCATCTTGATGATGCAGAGACTAGCTGTTATGAAGTTCTCCCGGAAACAATAAGCCATCTCATAGAGCAACCCTACATCTCGAGCAAAACAAATATAACCGTTAGATCCCGCCGAACCTACCCTTAGGCCCATGGGATCCCCTGATAATCCCTGACATATGTTGGTCCAGGGCCGCATTCGAATCGGACGGCCAAAGCAAGATCATCCGGCTCAACAAGGTATGCGTTTGGGTTGAAGCCATCCTTGCCATGTAGGTATTGCCCCGATTTCGTATATTGCATTCTCATTGTCCTTAGGTTGAGGTAGGGCAAACGGAAAACGTCGCGATCCCCCGGCATCCACGACAAGCAGAGACTTCGACCTCTGTATGTATCGTTGGAGCCGGCTCCATGTATAGAACGTCGGCATCGGAAAACGGTGCGGTATCCAGGCCGGTATTTGTCCTGTCTCATCTCCTCCAGGACGGCTCCAGGTGTAGAACGGTTGCATCCCGTTCCAGCAACTCCACCATAGTGCCAGCCGATGCGGCGAGGTTGACACTGATCCCGCCACTGCGTCGGGCATAGCTCAATCAAAGGGACAGTACCAGCCGTGCCAGTACTTGCCCAAACCAATTGGACTCCATTCTCGTTTGTCTTGGTCTCGTGCCACGTGGCCTTCGAGTCTGTACGAAATTTGCTGCCGGGAATTGGAATGAGACTCTGACGTGTAAGGACATTCCGAAGTCCTCGAGTTTGCCGAGACGGACCCCAAACCACCTGTCCAGATTCGGTGACAGCGAAATAGGGACCTAGTCCAAGCCACGCTTGTTGCTGCGATTCATGTAACCTCCTTCGCGTTAGCTCCTTGTCGACACCCCTACGGACTCGAACCGCCAACCATAGCCTGAGTGGAAACCGTGCATTGCTGTATGTAGTGAGCGGA